TCAGTATGAGTATCAGTATGAGTATGAGTATCAGACTAAGTCTCAGTATGAGTATCAGTATGAATATGAGTATGAGTATGAGTATGAGTATGAGTATGAGTATGAGTATGAGTATGAGTATGAGTATGAGTATGAGTATGAGTATGAGTATGAGTATGAGTATGAGTATGAGTATGAGTATGAGTATGAGTATGAGTATGAGTATGAGTATGAGTACGAGTATGAGTATCACTATCAGTATCACTATCAGTATCACTTTCAGTATCCATTTTTCTTAATAGTTTAGATGCTCTAATTTTTATCTACTTGTTGATGGTTTCTAAAGATAGATCTCTATGAATATCAAAGTTTTTGACATATATAGAACATACTGATAACTGTTAATGGGAGCTGTAAACTGAACTGTCAGTGGCAGGAGTCACTGCTAATTCTAAATTCCCTACTATATTTTAAAAATTTACAAATTAATTAATTTAATTTAATTAAATTTTTATATGGTAGTCTCATAATGTGGTGGTCTGTGAGTTAGTTATAATATTGATTGAAAATAGAGCTGTTGACGTGAGCAATCCCATCTCGTCTTTAAATTATTTGGTACGCAATGGGGATTCTTTATCTAATTCATTGGGATGGATTAAATTAATATAAAAGTATCCAATATTTCAAATCTTTGTACACCAATTACTCTTTTAATTTTTAAGCAGAAAATAGTTAGTAAAAATGGGATTTAAATTGAAGTTTCATTACTTATTTGATAGCTTAACCAAGGATTAAACTATAACTATCAATTGCAATTTAAAACTGCACTGTAGATTTTTGATCTATTGTTGTTATTTTTGTTAGTAATGCTATTTTTTAGTAATGCCTTAACTTGAATCTCTTACAAAAAGAGGACGCTTGAAATATGCTTAAAAATACAATGCGTTTAAGTATATTCAGAACACTAAAACAACCAAAAAAACTTTTTTTATAATAACAGCTTATAGAGATTAATAGAAGCTTTATATTCTGATTGAAGTTCAAATAACAGAAACTCATTTGTGCAATAAGGCAAATTCTGCTTCTAATCTATTTAAAATGATTAACTAAATCTCTTTTGTGATGGTATTCCATATTTGAAATGTCATGTCTTTGTTTTGAATTTTGAACTGATAACTGATAAAGTATATAGAAGCATCAATTATAAACAATTTTCAAAATAATTAGAATTAATTCATTGAAATTCTATCAAATATTTCTGTTACTCAATTCATCAACTGCAGAAGTTTATCAACCACTTGCGTAAGATGTTCTGTATGAGAGTCAACAGTTCAACTCTTAACAATATCTCTACAGAATTTGTTTTCTTTAGGGTAAATTTAATAATTATAACAATAACAAGTCAACTATGCCGACAATGGATTTATTTTCCATCTTTTCAGCATGAATGAAGTAGCCAACTGTGTCCAATTGCTACAGCACTCGCTATGGTAGAACATCACTCTCGTCTCCATCACTAGCTCCATTCTCATGTCTATGTCCATACTCATGCCACGGTACATGACCAAGTCAGAGTCGATGTCTGTGTTGTGTTGCCACAAATTAATTCAATGACATTTTGTTGTATGAACAGCAGTGCTTAAGTTTTACTTGATTGTTGTCGGTATTGGAATAGTTGTTGTTATTGTTTTTGTATTGTTGCTCGCTGATGTTCATTGTTTCATTGTACATCGTGTGACATGGTAAAATAGTCGTACAATAAAAAAAATGCTTGAATATTCCTTAATTGGCCACAACTAATAATGTCCACTTCGGTATATGGCAGCATTTTATAGGCCACAGTCGTGCTGGTCCACAAACTGAGTGTACTACATAGTATCGAAGTCAACCAACTAATGGCATAGGAAAGGCAAAATATATAAAAAATACAACAAAAATTATATCACGTAAATGAAATTTATTGACCATGCTTTTCCATAGTACGAGTATCCTTTTTTTGTAGTGCATACTGACAAGTAATTAAGACATGATAGAAGTGGATTTCTCTTTAATTATGCCTACTAATAAGTATGCTCTTTGTATAGATTATGAATGTAGGTTGAGATATGTAAGTGCTTTATTTTATTGCTATATTATGTTCTTTAATCAATTTAAAAAGAAAATTATAGTGATTAAATAAAAGAAGTATTCCTTCACTAATGTATGTAGAAGGACACTTTCTAAATTGCATTAAGTGTGGTATTCTTTTACACTGCATTGATTAAAGCATATTTTATAAACAAATACATTGGCAATTTAAACAAACATTGCCTTACCTTATTTAGATATCATATCTTAAAGGAAAGTATAACTGTGTAAAGATACATAAACAAACATTATCGGTGCTACCATTTAAAAAAGTATTTACACACAAAAGTTAAAATCTAGTCTCCAAGGAGCACACATAAATTTCCTTAAACATGCGGGGTCCTTCTCAATAAATAAAAGAGGATTTAAAAACATGTCAAACACTTTATTGCAGTAAAGTTTGCTGCTTTTCTCAAAATTATTTCTCATTTCACTTTAAGAATAAAAAAGTAAAAATATTGTTGGATATGTGCTGGAAATTTTGCTAAATTAATCGTTCCTTTCCAACTTTACATCCATAAATTATGCTTAGGGTTACCTTGGCCATTATTGCCTGAAAATGCTGTGGAAATGGAAGCAACAATTTTTTATTGTTATAAATTTACTACTTAAGAGATACATAATTACCTTATTAAGACAACATGCTTTTTGATGGATGACTTTTGTTGTGGGAATTTGTTGATTAAAGTTTTCGAGATGAAAGTTTATGCAAATTTTTAAAAGAGATTTAATTTTTAATGCTTCTGTTTATATAAGAACTATTAATGTTTAAACATCACTATAATAAGAAAATAAAAAACTTGAAATAATAGTTTTTTTTTCTTAGTTTCGTGATTGGTAAATTTAAGATTTTACTAAGTAGGAGGGTAGTTCATACAACAATTAAAACTATAACGTAAATATGCAATAAATTTATTATTAACCTCCATTATAATGACAGTAACTACTTTACTTAATAGAAACTATCGTGTTTAACAATAAAATTTTTTATTAATTTTATTAATCGAATTTTTGGCTGACCATACAGTTTTTTCGAGTATAGTCAAATACCTATCATCGGTGGTCTTGTATGAATGATTAGCCAAAAATTTAATTAATTAAAATAATAGAAATTTTGTTTTTGCAATTCACTATAGTTCGAAACCTCTCTATAAAAATAGCTTATAAATATGTTTGTGTTCTTACAAGAAGCAAAGTATGTGTATAGTTTTGTAAAACTTCTGTATATTTCAATAAATAAATTCCAACTTAAACAGCATAAAAGTGTAAATATAAATGAATAAAAACTAATTTTATTTGACTTTTTTTTTTAATTTATTGAACATAGCTCAACTTCGCTTAGTTGACACATCATAACACTTATCCAAAGAAGATAAAGAACAGAAATAGAGTTATTAGAAAAATTGTATATAAAATTTTTTAGATTATTCAAATAATATTCAAAATTTTGTGTAATGAGGTGAAAAAATCACGCTGTACAAAAACAAAAAGCTTAATGCTCGTGATAATTTTCCCCACCCGGTTCTTACTCACCATTATATTAGCTTTCTGAGAAATTTCGCTGTTTACCTTCAGAATTTTATATTCGTTTTCTGATTATTATTATAAAAACGAGTTGAAGTCCCTGTAAGGAATTACTGACTCCACAAATGGGATATTTGTACAAAAGGATTGATTCATAGGATCAATTTATTTATATTTTATATATAATAAATTAGTTCCTTTATATTTAAATATTTTTAAATGTAGAGGCGGTCTTTTTAATCTGAATGGGAGAGAATTTAATACATCTGAAAGTGATTGTTCTTTGTGTAATCGTCATGAAATAAAAAATATATGTCATATTATTGGTGTATGTCTAATTTTCAGAGAACATAGACGTATTTTTTTTGATAAAGCACTTCTGTCTGAAGAAGAAGTGAAAGTTTTATTAAACGGTAACAAAATTTATATACTTATTGTCAATTTAGATTTTAAGTAAAATTCTATAATTTTTTATAGGTGCTGTATGAATTTTTTTTTGAATCAATAAATAATAATAACTAATTATAACTAATTATAAACATTTTTAAAATAGTAATAGTGTTTTGTATATATTAACTTAATTCAAAATTGTACTTTTATAAAATTGTTTTTTTTTTCTTAAATAACATATTTTGGTGGTTAGGTCTATCAGGGAATTGAACACCTAAACCTCTGTAACGCACTAGCAAGCATACTTCTTAGGCGGTTCGAAAAATGCTTATACAGTCTATAGACTTCTGACACTACGGACTTATTGATATTATTCATATAAAAAAAACATTTCACTTCATTGAAAGGATTGCGATTTCCTACATTGAAAATTTTGATGTATAGCCAAAATTGTATTATAAGTTACAAAACTTTTTTGAATGTAAAAAAATTTATTAATATTTATCGGTTTAAAACAGAATATAAAATTAATGTAACATAAAACTCGAAATATATATATACGTACTAACTTCTCTAACACTCATTATAATTATATTAATATATACAATGGATTTCCAATAATAATTATATATACTATTTCTTCTAATTGGAAGAAATGACTAAATGTTGATATGCAACCACAAATGTAATAAACATTTAGGTTATAGGGCATAATTGACGATTCTGGTATGGTGAATAAACAAGAGAGATTTTTTGGCGATATTACACAAAGAGGTACAGTTTCTCTTCTTTATTTTCTTTTTTTATCCATGCAATTTATTTCGATAATTGCAGGCTAAACTACGTATTTATACATAACGTCACGTTATTAAATAATCAGAAGAGTTTGCTTAAAATGTATAATATTGTTTCCAAAAATTTTAAATATATTTAAACACTTTAACTCGGTATTTACTTTCAAAATATTGAACATAGCTCAACTTCATTTTGTTGACATCTTTTAACACACACCTTTGCAATGACATTTGACAATTGTAAGCAAAAGTTGTGCATAGCGTCGCTTGGTTTCTTTATTAGTTGTGTTAGCTACTAAAGTATAACATTGTTTCCAAAAAACTTTAATAAAATATTTATACCGCACGATAAATATAATATAACACTCTAATATAATTATAATAACGAAAAATACGAGGCAGCAAATAACAGTTCAACTCGTTCATCAAGCAATAACATGCAAAAGTCGGAAGAACCAACTGCAACTGCTAGCTTAGTAACTAAGAAGAAAACTCGCAAAACAGAAAAAGCAGCAATTGATAAATCTTCGGATCAAAATAAGGTAAACGAGGCGAACGCAGAATATATGGATGATAAAGTTGAAGAAGAAGCCGGCGCTGGCCAAAAGCCTAAGGGACATACTAGATCAACTCGTTCATCAAGTTCGGCCAACAACAAGCGTAAGTCCGAAGAACTAATTACAAGTAGCGGAGGATTAGTAATTAAAAAGAAACCTCGTAGAATTAATAAATCTTCGGATCAAAATAAGGTGAACGCGGTGAACGCAGAATATGTGGCAAAGGAGGTTAAAGAAGAAGCCGACGCTGGGAAAAAAACCAAAGCATATACAAGATCAACTCGTTCATCAAATTCGGCCAACAACAAGCGTAAGTCGGAAGAACTAAGTAAAAGTCGCACTACTTCAGTAACTAAAGAAAAAACTCTTAAAGATAAAGAAATAGCTAAATCTTCAGAACAAAATAACTTATATGGCTTTGACAAAGGCTTAGTTGCTGAAAAAATTCTTGGTGCATCGACCTCTAATGGTTTACTTGAATTCCTTATTCAATTTAGAGGAGTTCAGCAGCCAGAAATGATTCCCGCATCAGTGGTTAATTTAAAAATACCACAAATGGTTATTAAATTTTATGAGCAACACATTGTGTTGTATTCGGATAACGAACCTAACTAAAAATAAATACTTCAGCATATACAGGTATATTGTTTTTGATGTTATAATTTTTATTTTTGTTAACAAATTACTTTTGTTTTTAAGGATTATTTTGTCATCAAAATAATGTAAAAATTAACATTACAATATCTTTTATAATTCTAAATAATTCTTAAAGATTTGTAATTATTTTTTTGTATGTGCTATTTTAAAAATAAAAATCAACATAATAAACATTCTTAAAATCATTTATTAGTGTATTATTTTACAGTTCTTGTTCTATATCCAGCTGAGTCTTGATATATTAATTTTAGATTAGATTAATATTAATAATTGGATAGAATTTCATTAAGAATAAAGCACCGAAAACCATTCAATCATTATTGCAAGTTGAATTGGTAAAATAAAAAATTAACTATAGTGGAAGGAGACTGAAAGTGCGTCTGAGGAAATTGAAACTAATCTATACATAGGTATGCTTTGCAACTTCAATTAGACATAGCTAAATATATACTAAAACTATATCAATCTGCATTATATGTGAAGAAATATACAGTCAACTAAACAAACAACAAACAGAATCTAGCAAAACTTCCAGATTTTAAATTTTCCCTCTCCATACAATAATTTGGAGAGGGAAATTGTTGCTATTCTAAAAATTAATTATTTCGGCCGTATTTTCCAGTATTTTTTTACACCAATCCATATGTGACTTCTTTTTAACGATTATCAAATTATGAGGTATCCAACGAGAACAAATCTTTCTGACGGATAAATGTATATGGGTCATTCTTTTACAAACCGGACACCTTTTTGACCTCATCACCTCCGATTTGGCTGAAATTTTTTTTATGAGCTCCTTTCATAAAATAAGAAGACCCGTATCTCGGAAAAAAATTTTGTAATTTTTTTCCTAGGAGATATGGACCCATGGGGTTTTGAGAATTGGCATTGTAGACACATTTTCAAATGGCTATATCTCAAGTTCTATAAAAGCTAGAAACTTGAAATTTATTGCGTTTTAAAGATAATTGGTTGAAGTTTTAAGTTCGGAGGTGATGAGGTCATTTTTTGCCAAAATCCGTCCGGTTTGTAAAAGAATGACCCATATATAAAATTGAACGTATGCTGATAATACTAAAGGCCCTCTTTATCTTTCGACATGTTATATGTTAATTTATCTGGCAATACTTAGTGTTATCTTAGTGCTATTAGTTATGTGTTAGTGTTATTATTATCTATATATTAATATCAACATCAAAATATATACAGGTATTTTAGTTTTGTATCCTGTTAAACTATTTTCGAGAAATATTTTTCCTTCTGTAACAATTTTATAATTATATTCATTTAATTATTATTTTAGTTACATTTTTATGATTTTAGTCACACTTTTATTATTTTAATTATAATATTATTTTTATTATCTTAATTATATTCTTACTGATACATATTCATATGCTTTTATATTTCTTATTATTTAACTTTTTTGTCAGTTTACGTTTGGGAATAAACTAGGCCATCACATAGATAACAGTCTATAGAGCTAAGTATTCGCCATTTTTTTGTGACGCATCTCTAGTAACTAGCATTCACCAGGTGAGGGTATTGTCATTAGACAATACATCGTGAACATGATGGGTCCATAACCAAGAAAATGGTTATGAAGATATGAAGCTATGACAGTGACGAAGTTCCAGTTAGTAGATAACTGGAGGTTTGGACATATGAATAATGTAATCTAATTTTCTCCATCTTTTTTAAGTGATATATATCTCAATTTTCTTAAAATACTGATGGTTTCAGAAAAGAGAAAAGGGAAGGCATTATCTTCGTCCATTGCTCAAAAGGATACTACGTGTTGTTGTTTCATTAATAATTAGTCATTTTAAAGAAATAAGTAAACTCTAATTTAAAATTAAATTTTACTTGAATAAACTTTATAAAAAATTGTAAATAAAAAGCTTTTAGATTTTATTTTCAAAAAGTACTTCAATTTCAAAATAACTGTAAAAGTATAAAACTCTTAATTTAAAACTTAATAAACAAAAAAATAAAAAATAATTTAACGAAATGACTGACTAAAGTTTATCGAAATAAGCCAACTGCAAATGAGTGACATTTTGATGGAACACTTTGGAGAATACTTTGAGTTAACTTTGCACTAAATCGTAATTTCATCCAGTGCACTTGGATGCAGAGTAGTGTTCCACTTTTGCAGTAACTTGATTGCACAAGTTTAAGCATTAAAAATGATATCGTACTATATATAGTTACATGTATATGTGAGATAATTCAGGTCAAATGCTAGTTAAAGATAAAAAGTAGAAAACATCTTAAATTTCTGACACTTTCTTTTTTTGAGTGAAATGACATGGCAGTGCTTAATATATAACACACGTGGGGACACAAACTGTCTACCGCATGGAAATGTAATATTTTAGTCGAGCAATAAAACAAAATACATGCAAATTTGCATATCTGACTATGTTGGGAAGACACACAGTTTCACTGATTATAAGTTCACCTTACTTTGTTAACACGCAGCTACTGCTTGGCTAAAAAATATTAACCAACTTGTATGCAGAAATATTTTCCTCTCGTCCGCAGTTGAGTTTTCCATAAGCTCATCAACTGGAAATTTCATACCTGATACATGTTGTATTCTATGCTACAATGTACTGCTAAACGTATACTTCCGGCAGTTAGTTTCAGCTCAGTTACCGTTTAATTTCCGACGGAAGTTTTTAAGCATCTTTTGTGAGTGACATTATCACCATTTTACTTATTTTCGTTCCCTTCACATTTTATTCACGTATGAGTAACTTTATGAATACTTGAAATTCTTTATTTTTGTTCAAAATTGTAGGTGAAAGCATTATATTTCATTTCTACTAAATATTATGAAAATTATGTAGTCATTACTTAATGCTAGTAATTACTGAGCAACTGAAAGTGTTATACAGTTGGTTTTGTTTTTTTTTTTTATATTTTTCTTCTGCAACAGTTGTTGCCAACACACCAGCAACTTGACTGAGTAACTTTAATCAAAGTATTTGCAATGAAATGCTTTAGAAATACTTTCGTTTCTACTTTTCTTCGAATAGTATTAATAATAAAAAAAAGCCTCAAATTAACAAGAATTTTTACTCTCATTCTTTTGAAGTGCAAGTAAACATTTTTGTGCAAGTTTCACTTCAATGTAATATTTTAAGCTGTTTGAATAGATCGGCCAAAACATCTATAGCAGGTCTTTTATGCTGTTTAACATTTGTACAACAAAATGATTTTTATAGTCATCATCGTTACTATTTTTGGTATAACAATTCTTGAGGAATCAAAGCTAGTCAAACAATAGCCTGATTTTGATTTTTTATTTTTTCTCTATGGTATGTAATGCATATTCTGTGAATATTCACTTTCTATCTACCTTCTATGTGTTCATGTTTTTCTCTTATTCCCCATCAAGTAGTTGATGGGGTTTTTTTATCAGCTTATAAAGTCTATTCTCCAAAGATCGTCATTCACCTGTATTGAACTGCTTTATCGGCATACTTTTTTCTTATAATTAAAAAGCGCATAAAGTGCTGGTAGAAACCTTACTTTGTATTAAATTTTTTGACAGCATTACAATATGAACATATGATGATCCATTGCAATTTTTTTTATTATAATATATATAATTTAATAATGATATATTCAGTTATCAATTGTTATAACAGATTACTTAAATTATTTTTTGCATTGCAACGTTTTCTCTCACAAGCACAAAGATTTTAGGTATGATTTTCTTTTTATAAACAAAGAGAAGAATTGCAAAGAATTGTCCAGAAAGCATTCGATTTAAGAATATACATCCCACACTTCAATGGCAATAATTAGATTTGATAAAAAAAAAACAAACAGAAGTACATATATTAAATTGAAATCTATTTAGTAAAATACGTAAAAATAAAATGTAAAAACGCTAGTATATATTCGCATAGACTGGCAGTCTTTATAGCTTTTATAATTGCCTTGTTATCTTTTTTATCCCTTAAATACTGGAGCAATAAATCAAATTTGGTATAAGGTTAAAAGATTTTCACATCAGTTGGTTATTAAGATTAAAGTGATACTCATAATCGAAATAATTACAAAGTGCCTCAACTTTTTTAATAAGATCCGAACCTGTTTCTAGGACATCCACTTGCAGGGAACATTAGTAATTAAACATGTTGAATATAAACTTCTAGAGAAAGGCTGGATTTAATCTAAAAACAATGCAAACAGCTCATCCGAGTCAATAATAAAGATGCTGCTGGTCTAAATAGATCTGTAAAAATGTAAACTGCGTTATTTTAAAGAATTAAATGAAATTAATTATGTAGGAATATAAGTGGTTTTCTTGTACCCACTCTCATTTCAATTCTCCCTCGCTGTTCCTCATCCACTGCTTTTGAATTCCTCGGAGTGTTGCTAACACTACCTTATCTTACTGGTGCTGCCATCTTAAACTCACAGATTTTAACTCAGCTTAATTAAGTAGTTTTTAACTGGATAAGTTGCTGTTAACTACCACCTTTTTGACATTAAGAGTTTTTTAGGAGTCGATCTTTTCTGCCAGTACCTTCATTGAATCGAGAAATGAATTAAGAAATACTGTTAGGAATGTCAGTAACCTTAATTTGTGCAGGTGAGGTTAGGATATCCTCTTCAAAGATAACAAAATAGGTCCCATCACTTATTATGATTTTATTTCGGCAATGTGAATTTCGTTTCCTCTAAGAGAATTATTTAACATGAGGAAAACGGATAACATAAGAACATGAGAAATTTTGGAATTTAATAATTTCCTCATTTACTTATTTACTTACTTAGATGGCCATTATAGACATGATCCGTCCTTGCCGGCGTCGAGTAGCCTACTCCAGTCTACCTGATTAATTGCTTACGCTCCCCAGTTGGCAGTACCGAGCGCCCCTAATTTCCTCACTATTGTTGTTCTTTTTATTCAAAACAACTCTCTTGTCATAGGATATTATATTTTTTGTAAACATA